TGTTGTTGTTGTTGTTGTTACTGTTGGGTGCCTTCAAGCCAACCTTGAGGTGAGCCTATCAGGGGGGTTTCTTGGCAAGAGTTGCCCAGAAGGAGTTTGCCTTCGCCTTCGCCTGAGAGTGTGACTTGCAAAAGCATGGATGCAGATATTTTGTGGGATAATTTCAGATCACTAGCATCCATTTAGAATTTTCATCAGTAATTTGTCTACTCAGGGAAGATCTCCAGGGGTAACAAAATCAAAAGGAAGGAGAATCAGCTCCTTTCAATTCAGGAAAGGAGTGCCTTCATGCTGTTGAGTGCCTTCACAAGGCAACCCTGAGCGAACTTTCATGGGGTCTTCTTGGCAAGATTTGTTCAGAGGGGGTTAGTTATTGCCACTGCCACTGCCTTCCCCTGAGGCTGAGAGAGTGTGACTTGCCCAAGGTCACCCAATAGGTTTTAATGGCCAAGTGAGAATTTGAACCCTGGTCTCCTGAGTCCTAGTCCAACACTCAAACCACAATGCCGCAATGGTGACTAGTCAAAATGGAGTATGATTCTGTAGGCCAATGGCAACCCACGCCCCGAAGTAACTTGCCAAGAAAACCCTAAGTTTGTTGTTGTTGTTGTGTGCCTTCAAGTCATTTCCAACTTATGGCTAAGGCAAAACTATCATGGGGTTTTCTTGGCAAGGTTTGTCCAGAGGGGTAGGGTTGCCATTGCTTTCCCTTGTTTTTAAACCATATACTATCTTAACTAAGGACTGAAACAACAACATGCAGGCATCCGACTAACATCTCCAGTTGTTTTTCTCCTGTTTGGTTTGTAACATCTTGCCTGATGAAGAAGCCAGTGGAGCTTTGAAAGCTTGCAACAAGTATATTGTGCATTTTGGTTGGCCAATAAAGGTATCCCTGATGGATTTTTGTTTGAATTTGCTAAATGGCCAACACAGCTACCCCTGAATGTTTTCTGTATTGTGAAATACCGCATGGTAGCTTCAACAGGGGAATCGAGAAGAATAGTCCGTGGACTGGGAACTTCAATCTAGGTAAAACATTTTTTTTCTTCTTAAATTTGGACTGAATTTTCATGTTTTACCTCTACATCTATCAAAATATTCCTGATGCAAACACATGGAGACTTCTTGAGGAATCCATTGTTCTCTGCCATAAAGAGGCCTGTAAAATCACTGGAATGGAAGACATACTGGATTGCAAGAGAGGGGTCCCTGTTGAGATGCAAATGGATTTTAAATTTCCTGGACTTTACAAATCTCCCTATAACCACAGGGCCAGGAGGAGGAAGAGGATCCTGCTGGCAAAAGATATCCTCCCCACCATATAAAATCTTAACTAAAGACTGAAACAACATGGAGGGATTTGACTAATATCTCCAGTTGTTTTTCTGTTTGGTTTGTAACATCTTGCCTGATGAATAACTAATAATAATAATAATAATAATAATAATAATAATAATAATAATAATAATTTTATACCCCGCCTTTTGCTGTGGCAATCAAAGCAGCTTACATCTAAAATTAGATTAACTAAAACTACCCCAAAATAAACAATAAAACAATATTGACAAATGAAGAAGCCCATGGAGCTTCGAAAGCTTGCAACAAGTATATTGTGCATTATGGTTGGCCAATAAAGGTATCACTGATGGATTTTTGTTTTTATATGTTAGTTTTGTAGAGGTAATGTCTTATGGAGGGGGTTGGGAGTTGTGTTTGAGGTCTATGTTATGTCTATTTATGTATTTTTAACTTGTAAATGAAACCTAATTTAAAAGGGGGGGCTGAAATCTTTCTTTCGGTCTTTAGAAGGGTCTCTAGAGGAGGTTGTCCCTCAGGAGTCTAGAGCTGCATTGAGAGAAACTGAGGGAGAAGAAGAAGAAGAAGAAGAAGAAGAAAGGGGGGGGCAAGGAGTCAAACAACCGTTAACGGCTGCCATCTTAACTCCTGGCAATTCTCCTCAGCGAGCGCAGGCAGCCCAGCCACTGAGCGCCCAAAACCAAAATGGCGGCGGAGGCATCCCGTGCGTCCCACACACGCAACTCCCTCCCTCAAGGACTCTCCCTCCCGCCCCTCTCTATGGCCTCGAGGCTTGCTTGCTCACTCACTCGGGAGGGTAGAGGCGCAGCTCCTCGATGTCGCCTAAGAAACCGAAGAGCGTCCTCATCTGCTCGCTGGTGACAGCCGAGGATAAGTTGGTGACTTGGATCACCGAAGTTGGGGTCAAAGGGAAGCCCAGCGGCACCCCGATCCCGCCGCTGTTCATCATGATGGCGGCTGCAACTCCTCGGACCAGCCAACGCCCGGAAGCGGAGAGGCGGAAGTCACCATAGAGTATGAGGGGCGGGTCTTCCCAGAGCGTCCACATGCCTACAGAGACGGATTCCTAGAGCGTCCACACATCTGTGGGAGGACGTTGCCTCCCCGCTAGGGAGTCCTGGGAATTGTAGTTTATTGTGGCACCAGAGCTCTCTGACAGAGAAGGCAGAATGTCTCACAAAACTCACTGTGAAATCTGACTTAAGGTCCAGAACACACGGCAGAAATGATCCAGTTTGAGACTGCTTTAACTGCCCTGGCTGAGTGTTAGGGAATCCTGGGAAACACAGTTTATTGTGGCACCATAGTTCTCTGACAGAGAAGGCTCAATGTCTCACAAAACTACAGTTCCTAAAGTTCCCCTAGCATTGAATCAGGGCCATTAAAGCGGTTTCAAAACTGGATTATTTCTGCGGTGTGTGTTTTGGACCTAAACCTTTGTCACATTGCAGAAATAATCTGGTCTGACACTAGTTTAACTGCCCTGGCTCAATGCTGTGGAATTCTGGGAAATGACAGAGAAGGCCAAATGTCTCACAAAACTATAATTCCCAGAATTCCATAGCATTGAAGCAGGGCAGTTAAAGTGGTGTCAAACCGGATTATTTCTGCAGTGTGGACGCAGAGTAAGGTCCAAAACAAACGCCGCAGAAATAATCCAGTTTGAGACCGATGCAGCCAAAATGTATGGTTTAGCCGTGAAGCAAAGGCCTTTGTGTGTGTCTAAGATGATTAGTCAATATCACGCTACATTGTTATAGTGCGATTATTCCATTTTACTTGCTGTGGAATCCTGGGAGTTGTAGTTTAATGAGGCCTAAGAGCTCTCTGGCTGAAAATTCTAAATGCCCCTTCCCTAAACTGCAAATCCCAGGGTTCCACAGGAGGCAGCCATAGCGGTTAAAGCAGGATTAATAGCACTATAATGCTGTAGCGTGACACTGCCCAGTCTTACCAGTTTGTGAGATCAAGATCCTCCTTGGTTGTCTAAATATGCCTTTACTGACACACTGTCCATACATACTTTTTTTTTTTGTGCCCATTTTGTTCCTGAATCAGTGCAAAGTTGATGTTTTTAATTTGTTGCCTTCTTTGTATTAATATATATTGTTTTATTATTTTGTAGAATGTATGCCATTGGCAGGCTTTCTTTATCTATTTTTATCTATTTTATTGACTGTATGTACAGCGCTGTGTAAATCTAATAGTGTAATATAATAATAATAATAATAATAATAATAATAATAATAATAATAATAATAAAGTGCACTAATCCCAGTCTGACAGCTCTCATCTCCAACAGGAATCCCTGTGGCTTTGGAAACCTCTTCCCCCTTGAAAAAAATAATAATTTCTGATATATTTCCTGACAACTTTTTTCCTTTTGAGTTGTTGGAAGTACTACTGCACTTACTTCTTATCCTTGCCCTCTATCTACTATCTACTAAGACCAAACAGTAAATTAATAATAATAATAATAATAATAATAATAATAATAATAATAATAATAATAATTTATATACCGCCCAATGGTTGCCCAATCCGGGCGGTTTACAA